CTATACTCTAATAAAGCTACCTGGAATCGCCGAACAAATTACAGATGCTTTTTCTGATTTTAGCATGAGTATCTATTTATTGATTATGTAACAAAATTTTAACTTTCTTTATATGAGAAAGTGGCAAAAGAGCTAGCTTTTAACCTGACGTTACGTGATACCCGCCTCCTGTGGACTTTTGCAACACCCGCGTTGCAGATGCGTTGCCACCTTCTAATAAAGTGGACCTCGGCTACCTCAATCACCAGACGAAACACCGAAGTGTAACACTTCTACTTCAAGCCGGTTTTCTGTGACGTCGTGGTATTTACCCGGACGGACCTGCCTATTCGTGCAACAGAGAACACTGTTGCGTGGCTCTACCACAGTTGTAACCATCTTGCAAAATATGCTCTTTAAACTAAAACTTTTTTACGGATTTTGTTGCGTACCACCCCATGAAGATATCGCTGCAAAATGTTAGAAACTTAGGAGATTCTAATTTAAAAATAAATTGCTGCCGAATCCATAAACAATAGACGTAATTTTGAGATATCACAAGGATTTTAATGATCGTTTTAAAGTATTTCTCTCAATAGTTACACAACACCCTTCCTTGTAGTGAACGAGAGTATACCACGGGACACAACGCTAAACGCCTACCTCAGGTATCACCTGACGCTGCCGGGAACTAAAGCCATGTGCCACCAGGGCAGCTGTGGTGTGTGCATAGTCTCCGTACGCGCTCGAAGACTCCCCAGCGAAGCAGTAGAAAAATTCTCTGTCAACTCCGTACGTTCTTTAACATTAACTAATATACAAATAATTCGAATTCAAGACTCGGCGTCGGGGGTCGTGGGTTCGATTCCCACATAGGACAACTATTTGTGCGACCCACTCCCACAGATAGTTGTCTCGCATCTGGGTGTTCGTCCACGTAAATTTATGTTTGTAAAACGTCGTTACAACACAGTGAACATTACACTCACTTGTTGATAGTCAAAAATACTACTACCGGATCGTAAAAGAAAAGCCACTGACCTGAGAAGAAACGGCGAAACAAACTCAGCGGGCCATTTTTTAAATGACAAAAAGCAAACATTTTTAATAACAGGAAACAAAACCGACTTCAATACCAATGTTCAGAAACGGTTGAATTCTTCTATACTGTAATTATTTATGAAGATTAATGCGGGTGATAATTTAACAAGCAATTCATAGTTAGGTAAACTACTTCTTTATCAAATTCGAACTAGTTTTTCTTTCACTTTGATTACTTGTGTATGTGCAACTACACCAACTTATTGTTCTAATAAGCATTAATGTTTCCATATAATTTTTAATTTCGAACATCCGAATGTAAATATTTGTTAAAAGATTACATCACTACAAAAACGTCGTGCAAAACAAATACTGCTTCAAAAAGTTCCTGATGAATCTGTTCGCTACTCAAGGGAATCAAACAAGAAATTGAATATAACCCTCGCGAATATTGAGCCATCTAGTGTAATATAATTAAGGATCTTTGATAATATTTACTGGAAAAAGTGGTACTACGGTGTCGGTGACCGAGGCCTTGATACTGTTAATATTCGAATGTCACAAGAAGGACAATAAAGAGCCACTAATCAGCTTCAAGGTGAACTTATTATACATTGACGCCCGTTTTCGTAAAACACTGATCATCGTAGATGTCAACTAATCAGCTGTCAAATGGCTTTACAAATTTCATTTAATTGCCAAAAGGATGGTTAGACTCTGAATTGACCAGAATGATCGTCTTAATGATCATTCTGGTCAATTCAAAGAGTTTAACGATCCCTTTGGTATCTCAAATAACATTTGAAAATCCATTTGACAGCAGATTAGTTGACATCTACGATGATCAGTATTTCAGAAACCGGGCGTTAGTGTTTCTACTATGCACTTCTTTTACAAGGTTCCTTTGAATAAAAATATATAAGAGGTACCTCTTGTTGATCATTTTATCATCATCGTCTATCAATATGTTGAAAGGTACAAATATGTATAGAAATCATTAGATTTTCCGGAGACATTAATATACACTGATGTATCGATATTCGTAAGTCATGAAATGACCATTAAAACTATTTGAAAAATGACCATTAAAATTAATTTTAATTGTAACTATAAAGACTATGTGTGACTTGTTTGGATTATACATAAAATTATCATGGAAACTACTTTCTGAATAAAAACATGCCGACAAATACTTGATCAAAATTAATATTCTATAATAATGATAATTAACATTATACAATATTTTTGATAAAATACAAGGCACCTGTATGTTGATTTGTTCCAATTAAATGGATAAGTAATAAAGCATGGATAAGCTTGACCCTGAAAAGCATTTTTTTATGTTTTTCTTCACAATTGATTATTTATAAAACAAGAACTCATATATAGTGATAGTAATACAAATTTTGCAAGTTAATATTGCACACTTTTTGTCACATATTCAATCTATTTGAATTTGGATTCAATTGAGTCTAAGTGGATTCAATTGATTGATAGGTGCTTCATAATTGTGTGCTACTTATCAACATTTTAAATGGCTATTTTGCAAAAATGATATGATTTACTTAATAATTTAGCTTTTGTCTTACTGTAGTTTAAATTAAAAAATGTGTGCGTGTACTAGCGTACACTCGTAAGAAGTGAAACTTTTTTATGACGTTATTTTTCAAAAAATAATTTACTATATGCAACTTTACAGAAATTGGTTAAATAAAGTTAAATTAGATAAAGTTTAATAAAAGGCTTTTATTATCATAGACATAAATACAAATTCTACAATTATTTCATTTTAGCTTTGTATAATATTTAGTTTCTTATTTGTAATACATAGGTGGCGTTAGTAATAAATTAAAACACACTACGGTTTGACCGTTGTAATTAGTATGAGGGTCCGCAAAAATTGTTGATTAAAAAACTTGCAACGTGAACCTTATTTCAATTAACCTCACAGACCCAAAATACAACCGTTTTGAATTTGTACATGGTCCTTCGTTGCCGAATAGTCAGCCAGTGAGTAGAAGGCAGACATTCGAATCGCGCGCGAGTGTTGTGAGTGAAGTTTTTTTTGAAAACCGAACTTGCGGACGTTGGATCGACGTCGCAACCGCAAGTTCCAGGAGCCGATCGAGGTTTCGAAGAGCATGATCGGTCAGCTTCAGATTGTGTCTTCGGTGGAAGGCGCAGTCAGGTCACGGTGGGCGGTGCCTGCCTTTGGAGAAGAGGAAGTCGACACAGTGTCGTGCTCTGAAGTATTAGAGCTAGCACTGTCATTACTACAAAAATTATTATTGAATTTCATTAATTGTAATAGAATTATTACTATCATTGATGTCGTTATTATATATTTGTGTTATTAATGGCTTATGGTAACTGAAATACGAAATATATTGTTTACATTTTAGAATTACAATTAAAATAAACCCTTTGATTTTGCTGATCACTTTAATATAACATATATATATATATTGCTATGAACAAACAAAGGAACTAACGCCATCTAGCGTCAACTATTAAAACCACTAAAGAATAAAGACGACATAAAACCCCCTATTCAACACTAGATGGCGTTAGAGGAATATTTTAAGATAAAAAAAGATGGCGCGTAACGGAAAAATGTTACACTAAATTTTTTTCCAACCCCGATAAAGAAGTTTCACTTCAATAATTACTAGTTTTACATATTTACATGTTATTTCCATGTCTAGATTATATTTCAACTATTATTTAACAGATACCAATGAATTCGTTGACTATGGGAGACTTATTTCTTGATGCTTAAAAATTAATATACATAACCATAAATAGATATCTTTAAATATATAATTTTTCTGTACGTGTGTATGCCACTGAACTCCTAAACGGCTGAACCGATTTTAATGAATTTTTTTTGTATGTTTTCGGTCGATTCGATACTGCTCGAGATGAATAACATCTCAATAAAATACAATTCGTACGATATTATAAATTAATTCTAAAAGTACATCAGTTGATGCAAAAATTGTCTGCTACAACTGATCTTCTAGTATTTCATGGAAAGCTGATATCTTTATTTCACCAGGATCAATAAAATCAAACGACAATAAAGTTAGTAAAGGGATTATCGTACATGGCCAGGACTAGAGATTTATGCTGAATTTATGAATTATATTATAATGGCATATTAATTTTTATCTATTCAATGAGCATTATTATCACTTTTTTACTGTTAAAGATTCAGGGAATAAAATTTTACGTAATGTGATATATTTCATAAATATTTTTTCTAGTGTCTAGTTCTTGTATTCTCTTGTCACGGATGGGAGGTCACCACGATCGAGGGTCTGGGCAATCGGTTGTGTGGATACAGCGAGGAACAGAAGAGAATAGCAGCCTTTAATGGCACACAATGTGGATATTGTACTCCTAGTTGGGTCATGCAGATGTACAGGTAATTTAGAAATCGAATTTGCCCTTAAAATTTGATTATGCTATGTACGGGTAAATTTCATATATACATACATATATAGGATACTATTATGGATTGATAGATTTAACAAATCTAAATGCAGGTTGCCGCAACGTTTCGATTCATTGCCAATTTTTGAACTCTACTAATCCGTAGTGGAGTTCCATGGTAGATTATGTCCAAATACCCTCAGTATAGAAAACGCCTTGCCCACCTGTAGGACATAAGACATAAAGATTTACTTCCCATATGCAAGCACTTTTTACTACTCCTTTTAACAAGCATTGTTCTTTGTCTTTCCAATTTAGCACACGTATCTAAATTTAATGGAATAAGATAAATTACACTGACAGAATATCATACATTCACTCTTCTCTTAGTCTAGCTAGAAATATTATTAACAAAAACTCTTCTTTAATCACGTTAAGAAACTTTAATAACCTTAATTCAAATAAATTAGGATTAATTAAAATTAGGCCCTTTACAGCATATACCCTCCTCTGTCCTTAACAGCTTACAACACAAGAATCTCACAATGCTCGAGCTGGAGAACTCCTTCGGCAGCAATACGTGCCGTTGCACCGGCTACAGGCCCATTCTGGACACCATGAAATCCTTCGCAATCGACGCTAGTCCGCATCTTTGCGACAAAGTCGAGGACATCGAGGAGGCATACTCGTGCAAAGCAAGAACGTGCCGAAGGCTTCCCTCCGTTAACAGCGACGACAGTGAATGGTGCATTGTCAACAATTTGAAAATTGATCAGCTGGAACCGCCATTGATATCTTTTAACTTCGGCACGAACAAGTTTTACAAAGCCTTCGACGAGGAGCAGATCTTCGATGTTCTAAATAATTACGGCTTTGACTCCTACATGCTAGTAGATGGAAACACTGCGAAAGGTGAAAAATAAAAATTCATTTTTGCGAATATTCCTATATATATAAACGGTCTGCCGTAAGGGATAATGGTAAATATAAATAAAAAAGAAGAGCTAATGAATTAATTCAAGTTTAATATAATATAAATTAAATTTAAAAATACGTTATACAAATATACACTTTTTTCCATATCATTGTTTTTATTTAACATTAACATTAACACTGTTCCCCTATTGATTATTTCTGAATTCAAAATAGATTCAAATTTTCAGGTGTGTATGAAACCTTCGAATATCCTAGAGTATTAATCGATATAAGTGAAATAAAATCATTGAAGAGTTATCAGTTCAGTCAGAATTTGATCCTCGGTGCCAATATCAGCCTTGAGGACTGTATCACAATTTTCCGGACCACAGCTAAATCCAAGAGTGATTTTTTTTATCTGGAGGAATTCGCGAAGCACTTTGAACTTATTGCCCACATTCCAATTAGAAAGGTAATATTTTTTGCTAAACAGACTGTAATGATACATCTACTTTGTCCTCAATAAATAATTAATGCAATGTTCTAACGGTAAGCTCATTTCATTAGACAAAGTTTGAAATGGTGTTAATATATTTTCCACATACATGCAATCTATTTTTCAGATTGGCTCAATAGCTGGAAATTTGATGTTAAAGTATAAGATGCCAGGTTATCAATCCGACGTATTCGTACTTTTCGAAACCGTGCGTGCAACTGTTACGTTACGTAAGTATTGCCACACGATGTTGTTGTCATACCATGAAAGAAAGAAAGTTTGTAGTGCACCGAAGAAAACGATCACGTCTTTTGATTTTTGAATAGCTAAGATTGTATTAACGGTAACCATCAAACTTGTTCTCGTTTGCTTTAAAATGCCCTAATAACTCATCATCATTACCATCATTTTAGCTTGTTTGAGTCCACTGCTGAACATAGGTCTCCCCACAGACTGCCACGAATTACAGTCCTGAGCCACCTGCATCCATCGAGTTCCCGCACATTTGCACAGGTCGTCCATCTAGTAGGTGTCGTCCTAAATTGCGATAGCCAGTATGAGGCTGCGACTCAAGAACCTTTCTGCCCCATCGGTTCTACGTGCTATATTCGTAGGGCACACACATTGGTTGAAGAATTTGTCTTCAAACAGTGAGGGATATTAGACGAGAAGATATGCCGAACTATTCGCCGATTGACCTCTGCGTCCTAATAACTCAGTGTAACCAAAATGTATAAATCATAAAATTTCATATCTATAAGAGTCACACTAACAATCCCCTTAGTTTATGTAACGAAAAATAGTCAAATAAAATTACTTTCGTAATAATCACGATTCGCTTGTTCTCGTCAGGCAATTCAAATAACCAAAAATCTACCCTATCAATGATTGACTTCCTGAAATGTAATATGCAAGGAATGTTAATGTTAAACATAGAATTACCGCCTTTCAATGAAAGCTACATCTTCAGGAGTTACAAGGTATGTTTAATACTTTTGCGATTGTACCACATTTTACTACTTAATACAAATAATTCTTCCATAGAACAAATTTTGAAAACCTTTTTCAAGTACCTTAATAGAAAACAGGAAACTGTTTTCTATTAAAGTTTATGGGACAGCAGAGATATTGAAATTGTAAGAACATATAATGATAATTTTTAAAGGTTATTTATTTCCATGTGGCGATTCTCTGCACTCAAGATGAAAATTTGTAGAAAATGGACGAAAAGTTTTTGGACTCTGCAGGAATTTAAAACTTATAATATGATTAATTAAAAAATGCTTTTCGAACTACCTAATAACCATTTACTTCAGAAAATAATTTCTATAGGTATATAATTTCTCAAAGGTATTTTTGTCGATACGCGCGGCGATAGGTACCTCTTTATCATATACTTAATCCTTCATCTAATCATTCAAACATAATTTTGAAGCTTATGCTGGCCGCTATTGAGAAAAAGAGACAATACAAGTGAACAAAGTTAATGTTTTCATTAAAAATACTTTCTAAAAAGAATGTATGATAATTTCATCTATTGACCAGTTGTTTAAATGAAAGATATACTGAGAAACATTATTGTCCAAAATAACCTTTCAATTATAAAAAAATATTTACATATTATTATATTACCATTCAAGGTCAACTATTTGTGTATTAAAATAATTGACTGATAAAAAATATTTTTCTTATAGATTTTACCACGAAATCAGAACGCTTTGGCTATCGTAAATGCCGGTTTCCTTTTGAAAATGGACGATAAGAAAATTATTGAAGAAGCAAGCATAGTATACGGTAATATATCAGGGAAATTTAACCATGCAAAACGAACAGAAAACTTCCTAAAAGGGAAGAACGTATTTAATAACAAGACACTTCAGAGTGCATTGAAGGAATTGTCTGAGGAAATTGTTCCCGAAAACAGACCACCTGAACCATCACCTGATTGTCGAAAGAAATTGGCCATAGGACTTTTCTACAAGGTTAATTTATTAATTCATATAATTAAAATTAATTTATACGTCGTCCTTAAACTGCAAAAGATCTAGCAACTCAGCAGAATTCTAATAATAGGGAGTGCCCACAGTAAAAAAATAATTCATTGTATATATTGTGTCTAAAAAAGATAAAAAAAAAACTATAACACCTTAATAACTAATATCGTGCACTCGCAAAATCTACAGATCATAGAGATTGATAAGCAATTTTTCAGATTTTGATTAATGGGTGTTCCATTGCCCTTCACAGTTCATCTTAAACATCAGTCCTACAGGATTGCCATCTCCAAGGTACCGTTCTGGCGGTACGTTATTCCAAAGGCCGGTTTCCAGTGGCAAGCAAGATTTCCAAACCGACCCCTCACTGTACCCCCTAAATCAGCCAGTGGAAAAATTAGAAGCATTAATACAGGCGTCTGGGGAAGCGCGGTATGTTAACGATATACCGCCTATGCCGCGGGAGATATTTGGAGCGTTTGTGATGGCTACGGTACATAGCGGTGAAATTGACGAGATAGACGCTTCTGAAGTACTGGTAAGAGACATCATCGTAATATTTTTAAAAGTTACGTCTGTATTCGAGAATAACATTTGAATCAACGTGTTATCTTGACAACGTGTAATCAGAAAACATACTGAGATTCAGTGTATCAATTATGTAGACTTGGACACAATTTTCTGGTTTTTGTGGGAATTGAACCCACGACGGACGGGTAATGGTTGTTAGCGAGTTGACACTGAAAACATACGGATGTTTTATTGACCCAATATTACAGACTACACGGGTAGTCTGTAATATTGGGTTTAGATAGGATAGTCTCAAGGATATGAATAGGTTTCCTTCAGCAGTCTAAAGTATTAAACTAATTAATCTGAAAGCAAGGGCGGATCCAGGGGGGGGGTCATGGGGGTCATGACCCCCATGGGCTTGGTCAAGGACCTAGGTGGACCGCTAATTAAAATTGTTAAACATAATGTTTTTTTATATTTTTTTCCACAATATATATTTTTTATCATCAAATCTTGCAAATTAAATTTGATCTACTTCCCGGTTACCGGTTGAGCTGAAATTTTGTATACATGTTTAAATCGCGAGACAATGCAATATTTTTATGACATGGTGCTGACCTGATGATGGAGCTGGAAGAAGGCCAATGGAGCTTCGAAATGAAACGACAAAGCCTCATCGCGTTTGGGTACATTTGAATCGTATTGATGAGTAGTTTCTCTTTTATTGTTAACCAAGATCTAATGATGGAGCTCCATCTTCAGCCGTCCATGGACATATGCATAGGGTTGCAGATGCGTTTTCTCCTTATGATAAAGTGGGCTCCGCCTACCTCACTCACTAGACAAAACGCAGAAGTACTTTTCGCCGATCTTCTGTAAGGTCTATGAGGCTATTCTGGGAGGTTCCTATGAGCACTCTGTAATGAAACGACTCAACCCCATCGACTTTCAGCTCGTTTGATTCGTCTTGGCGAGTACTTAATTTTTAAATGGTTACCAGGGACTGATCTGATGATGGAGCTGGAAGATAGTCATAAATTAACTCAGTAAAGAAACGACGCAACCCTATTGTGTCTCGGCTCGTTTGATTCGTTATGACGAGTTCTTTGGTGTTAGATGGTAACCAGGGTCTGATGCCAGAGCTGGAATGTGGCCAGAGGAACTCAGTTATTAAGGAACACAACTGCGTCGAGTTTGATTCGTCTTCCTCCTTCTTTTTGAAATCGGTTAAAAATACCTACTATTTACTTGTATCTATTATTATAAAATTATATCTTATCACTTGACCACGACTACGTGACACCCCCCCCCCCCTGGCACCAAAGCTGAATCCGCCCTTGTCTGAAAGAGTATTTAATACTATGTTATAATTTATATTAAATTAAAAAGTAAGTAGGTAATAGTAGTAACTAATAATTATAGTATCATCTAATACATGTTTCGCTTTCAGAAAATTGAAGGAGTTATTGCTTTATACACGGCAAAAGACTTCCCCGGCAGAAATTCATTCGGGTTTCCTGGTATTCAACTCCAAACCGAGTACGAGGAAATCCTCGCAAGCTCTGAAATAAAATTCTATGGACAGCCAGTAGCAATACTAGTCGCAGAAAGAGAAGCTTTAGCGGCGAGTGCAGCTAAGAAAGTCAGAGTCACCTACAAAAACGTACCATCTACGCCACCAGTTCTGACCATAGACGAGGCGAAGAAGTTTACTAAACGATACGCCCCAAGCGACGCAAAAATCGATCCGAAAAAGACTGGCGACAACATAAAGAAAGTAATAAAAGGAGTTTACGAGATAGGAGCCCAATATCACTATTACATGGAGCCTTTGTCATGCGTGGTGGTTCCCGTGGATAAAGGTCTGGAGGTGTACGATTCAACACAATGGATTGATTTAACGCAAATCACTATTGCTCAGTGTTTAGACATGAAGGAAAGCGAGTGAGTGTTTATTAAGTGATTATTTATTGTGTTATCCGCAGTCGGGTCGCGTTGTGGGTTTATGCTGTCATATGCCTAATACCCTCTGTATAACGGAGGCCTTTGCTCAGCGGTAGAACACTTAAATGCTGTTACTGCACTTACTTTTATGAGTTTCGGTATATAGGCTCTCGTAAACCTAAGGACTCTGGGCTCGTCCCTATTCTGCTCTAGGGTAAAGGCCGCAATGCATTTCTACGCGTTTGAATTAGGAAATGACCTCGTCATAAACCACTTTGGGACAGATTCGTAAAGAATTGAGAAAAATTGCCCAGACTTTTTTTATGTTTTTTAAAACAGTTATTTTCTAGTATCCTTGTCTTAACTTTCCAATTTTTCTAGTATCCTTGTAAAAGTTCGTCGTATTGGCGGTGGTTTTGGAGGGAAAATCAGTCGCAACGCCCAAGTTGCTACTGCGTGTGCTCTGGTTGCGAAGAAGACTGATCGGCCATGCCGATTTATTTTGCCCATCGAGACAAATCTTACAATAGCTGGCCGACGACTTCCGTGCCAGTGCACTTACGAGGTGATCACTCCTAGTTACACTTGCATGTCAACCATAATTGAGAAGAGTACTCAATATTTTGTCACAGACAAAAAAGTTTTAAGAAAACTTTTCCTTACCTTGTCACTGAAGGACTGTACTTTTGTTATATACTGAAATTTCTTTTCTCATCAGTTAATAAATATCCTCATCATTTTTTTCACAAGGCTGGAGTTGACGACGACGGCAAAATTCAATATTTAAACGCTACTATAGTTGAAGACGACGGGTGTTCTCACAATGAAAATATCTTAAGTTATACTGCGGGGGGATTTCCTAACTGCTATAACACCGACCCCTTTAAGTTGAACACGGCAAGTGTTCTTACAGACCTTCCTTCTAACACCTTCGCCCGAGCTCCAGGTAATCAATAACAGAAGCTTGTCAACAGTAGTACACCTACCTTTACTGCATAAATAACAAACCGCGTACACCAGCATTTCGGGGCGGTCTCACCGATCACTGCTAATTAATCGTTAGCTGTGTATACAGTCAATGATCTAGAGTCTATTAAGCTCATGGTTAGTTAGCATTTAACCGCTTTGTGTCCCATATAACTAAGTAAAGTAAAGTAAAAAGTAACAGCCTATACATGTCCCACTGCTAGGCAAAGGCCTCCTCTATACAGAGGGTATCAGGGCATAGTCCACCACGCGGCCCCACTGCGGATTGGCGGACTTCACATATTTTCGAAATACATTTTTTTTGTTATTATTTCGAAAATATGCAGGTTTCCTCACGATGTTTTCCTTCACCGCGGAGCACGTGATAATTCAGCACTTAAAGTAAAAAACTTCATTGGTGCCGGCAGCGGGGATCGAACTCAGGTTGCTCGAGCATATATTGAAATAAAGGCGAGCGCCCGGACACTGATCTATCACGGCTCTATATAACTAAAATCTAAACCAATTTTTGTGAGTAAAAGGACTTTTACCAAGAGACTAACCGTCTTTTCCACGATCTAGTTGTTATGAACCAGGCGCTATAAAACATAAATAGATTAAATTATAAATAAGAATAACATCGCTAATGCTTTAGAAAATGTTGTAGGCACATCCGAAGGTATCGCCTGCATCGAGAACATTATGGAGCACATAGCTTTCTCTGTACAAAAGGACTCGACTGATGTACGTCTTGTCAACATGAAAACAGAGGATAACGAGATCCCACAGCTTATAGAAGAGTTGAAAAAGGACGCAGAATATGACAAACGACTTCTAGAAGTCCAGCAGTTTAACAAGGCCAACAGGTGGATGAAGAGGGCACTCCAGATCAGCGTGATGCTGTTCCCGGTCGAATACTATGGAAACTATAGCGCCATGGTCTCGATATACAGGGGCGATGGCACAGTGACAGTTACCACGGGTGGCATTGAAATGGGCCAGGGTCTAAACACGAAGGCCGCCCAAGTGTGCGCTTACGAGCTAGGCGTGCCTTTGGAACTGGTAACGGTCATACCGAGCTACTCCTTCACGGCGGCGAACAACGTCTTCTCCGGATCGAGCATAACCAGCGAAAGCGTCTGCTATTCGATTATTAAGGCGTGCAAGGAACTGAATCGTAGACTGGAAGCGATAAAGCAGACGCTGGGCAACGCCACGTGGTTGGAAATAATAAAGAAGGCAGGCGAGGAGCTGGTCGAGCTGACCGCCTCGTATATGATGACGGACAAAGAGCCCGACCTGCAGAGCTACAGCGCGTACACAGTCGTAATTCTGGAGGTACAATTGGACTTGATAACTGGAAGATACGAATTGCTGCGAGCAGATATGCTAGAAGATGTTGGCCTAAGCGCTAACCCAGCGGTGGATGTAGGCCAAGTAAGATGTCACCCTTATTTAATTGTTGTTTATTTAAGTGTACACTGCACTCTAAAAATTGATATGCCGTTTAAATGCTTAGATTTTAGATAATTGCCTAATTTTAATATGGGTAACCAATAAAATACCTTTATTATTTTAAACACAATTTTTCTTGCTCATTGTTCATTCCCTGTTCGGGAAAAATTATAATGAATTTTCGTTATATTCCCATGACAATTTATGTTTAAGCTTTTAAACTCTTTATATTCTATCCATATTAAGGAAAATTTTTACTTAATAGAGACAAATTAGATTTGCTGCGACACAAGAAGCTTTTATTATTTTAGTTTTTAATGTAGCTTTATTACCCAGATATGAATAAAAAGCGTTTGGATTAAATTGGCGTAGTGGATATGACCCTGTCCCTTGCGCCAGAGGGTGTGGGTTCGATCCCCAGTATAGGAAAGATATTCTGTGATGGACATAGTATTTTTCTAGTGTCTGGGTGTTTATATATCTATAATATGCAATTATTTACAAAAGAAAAGTTAAAAGTACTTTTCTTTTGTTTGCTTAGCTTGGGACTAGAAATCGTTGTGTATATGCCCCGATTTTTTGTTTATTATTAAATAAATGGAGTTGTATAGTTGAAATCTCAGGATCTAAGTATACTTCTATAATTGAAATCTGGTTAATCTTGAACTACACACCATAAATTTCATCGAGAAATTATAAATATTTACCGCCTGTAAAAAATAATTAATAGTAATGTTTCGTTTTAGCTAGAAGGTGCTTATATTCAAGGGCTCGGATACTTTCTCACCGAAGACTTCATATACGACAAGCTAACGGGTAAACTTTTAACCAATAGGAGTCTGACTTATGAAGTGCCACTCGCGAAGGACATTCCTATCGACTTCCGGATAAAGTTCAAATACAACTCAAAAAATCCAAAAGGAGTATTGGGATCCAAAAGTAAGAATTACCATGATGTTTTATTTTGTTTAATATACTATTAAAGTGGTAAATTATCAGTTACTTACATAAGGAAATGAATAGATTATCTTTCCTTTAACTCTTGAAATGGCCGACTGCTACGCAAGCTTTTATGTCTCATACGTCTGATTTGCAGTAACAAAGTAAATTTTCTATTTAAAAACTGAAACATCAGCATAGCAACACCGAAATAATATCACTATAGATACTTTTATAAAAGATTCTTTTCCTTTCAGCCGTCGGTGAAATGGGCATATGCACGGCGCACGGCGTCACACATGCCCTCCGTAAATGCATTTACGAGTCGCGTAAAGAATCGGGCTACGACACGAACGAATGGATTAATATAGGTGCGTTTAGTTATTTTTTTTTTAGTAAGCAAATGGCAAGCTAGCTGATGTTAAGCGATAACCGCAGCCGATGGATATTTGCAACACCCGTGTCGCAGATGTGTTGCCATCATGTAATAAAGTGGGCCCCGTCTACTCACCAGACAGATGAAACGCAGAGGTAACTCTTCCACTTCACGCCGGTCTTCTATGAGGCCGTGGTAATTCCCTGGACGGACCTGGCCATTCGTGCAACAGCGAAGACTATTGCGATGCCGGTGACCCTGCCACGGCTATTTAATTTAAATGTACAAGTAATTTTATATATCTTCTTTGGACACATTCATAATCTTATTTGAACACAGTTATGTGTATGTGCTATCGGCCCCTAGGGGTGCCCCTTATCTCTCTTTGGATGGGCCTGAGGTGGGTACAGAGACTGGGTGAAGATTGCTGTGGTTGACCATTTCAGCTATGTATTTCAAGTGGAAAGATTCAAAAGGTTGGGTTTTGTCATTTCATATAAATTAAAACTCGGCTTTATTATTTGATTCAATCTATTGCATGTTTTTTTTTTATGTGAAAAGTTGCCAAACGAGCAGATGGTTCACCTGATGGTAAGTGAATACCGCCGCCCATGGACATCTGCTACACCCGAGGGTTACAGAGGCGTTGACAACCATTTGAAAATTGGGCTCCGGCTACCTCACTCACCAGACGAAACGCGAAAGTATTTGTCATACTTCCACTTTACGCTGGTCTTCTGTGAGGTCGTGGTACTTACCCGGACGGGCCTGCCCATTCGTACAACAGCCGAGGCTGCTGCGTGGCCCTACCACCTACAGCATATGTTATATAACTTTCAAATTGCTTATCAGTCGACTTTTCATGTTTTATAAAACTAATAGCAAACTATGTTAATGTATGACAGCGAGCTGTTATAGCCGAATAGAGTCAATTTTATTTTATTATTAAAAACCGGTAGTGTACTCTGTGTCCAGGCGGTCGCTTTTAATCAATTTAATAATTTGAAGTTCTGATTTGGAGATGAAGGAAAACATCGTAAGGAATCCTACACGCCTTTGAAATAATTAAGAAAATCGCATAGATGTGAAGTATGCCTTAGTAGCATGGCGGGCGGCGCCTTTATCCCTTTTATTCACTCTTCTCAGCAATGGGACATATGTATCTATATAAGCTTTGCCATAACTTAGTAACAATTGTAGAGAACAAAATATATCTAGAAAAACACTTAGTGTGTCTAACTGTGTGTGTAATTCTAGACATATTTTGTTCTAAAACTATACCAGCTGCTTATAATGATGTCACGCTATCTATCATCACCATTTCACACGGAAGTACGAATAAAATCTTGTCCTTTACAGATCACCCGTACAACACGCAGTCTATACTCAAAGCATTAGCTGTGAAATTGGACGAATACGTTCTTACATAAACCTTTTTAGTAATACATACAAATTTGAATAATATAAAACATTGCACTACGTAAAACCTGTTTTATTTTCATCCCATTAAGTTGTTTTTATTTATTTTATTATTATTTCATTAGTTGTTCTCTATAAGCTTTTAAAACGTTTTCTATTATCTTAAACAGTCCAAATGGTATTTGAAATGTTTCTTTTTATGTGTCGGTGAGTTTGAAAACTTTTCATGAACCAAGAATGGAATAGAGCCGACTGAGTTTGTCCATCGTTACTTGCATTAACACATCTTATTTTTCATCATCGGAAAACTAGACGCTCGGCAGGGCTCCACCCTTTTGCCGTCGACGTACCACGCACAAGAACGAAGTGATTTGTTTCTTCATTCATCATCCGTACAACTAAGGAACGGAACAACCTGCCGGCGTCCGTCTTTCCGTCCGATTATAACGTAGGCGTCTTAACGCTTACCATCAACGGCTGAATCACCACTTACCAACAGTTGGGATGGCAGTCAAGCGCTGGCCAGTTTCGAATAAAAAAAAATGTTGTGCAGTAATTCTTATGACAGGTCTCAAGAAGTTATAATAAACAATGCCGTAAGGCTACCATACCACAATCAGTTTCCTTTCACTTAATGTGTGCTTGGGGCATGGTTTAATTGCTATTAGGTTATCATACAAGATTATCAATTCATCACAAGTGATAAACCGTTTCAGACTCCCTTTAATTGTCTGCCTATTTAAGGGCTTAAGGAAAACTTCGACGCGATTTTGTTGTTGTTATTTTATCGAGTTTATAGTTCTTATCATTCCAATTTATTGTTAATAAATCAGTATCGATTTATCACTTACTTAAATTCTTACTTACTCGTATATTTTAGTTCGCCCGATCGGGGTTTCATTTATGAGATAAAAAATTCTGCACCGGAAGCAAATAAACAGAACATTCACTTTTCACTTGCGAAACCTGGTCACTTGTTTACATTGCGAGCCTTTTGTGCTGATTTGGTTAATTAATGTGTGTTGCCAGTGATGACCTACGGAAGACTGTAGAGAGACTTTGCTGCTGTAATTAACAAATCACTTAAAAGTTTTTTAATACTGTGCTTTTACATTCATAAAATTAAATGGCTGATTACATTTCTTACAGCTTAGACTAAACAAGCATTAGTTAATGAAGTTGTTTTAATTTAATTACATTTTTATTACGATGTTTTGATAAATTATTTCAGGGGAATTTTTAGTTTTACAGGAAGCATTTATGCTAAATCTTTTACCTTTATAAATTTAGAAACAAAATCGGTCAGATAAGCTAAAATCTAATAGATAACCAAGAAAAACAAGTAAACCACGCATACAAATAAACTATATAATTATAAATCTACTAAACGAAATGTTACCGAAATTGAAGTTGAAGGTGGCATTGCATCTGATAGCAGGTGTAGCAAATGTCCATGGGAGGTGAATATGAATTAACCTCAGGTGGACCGCCAGCTCGCTTGCCACCTTCTCCATTAAAAAAACATATTAAAAAGAAAAGAATAATAATTACAAATTGTAATTATTATTTGACAATTTTACAAATTGTAATTATTATTTGAACTAAATTATGGGACGTGGCCCCAACAAAAGGCAGCTAGGCGTCTCCTAACTGTTGGCGATGCCCCTTTAGTCGCGCATTAGGTACAAATGTTACGTCACCAATCTCTTAGATATGTATGGTGGACCTTTTACCACATGGACCTTTAAGCCCTGATCTACCCTAAAGCCTAAGCCTTTTTTTATTTCCAACCTAAAAGTTAAGCTAACGTTTTGCAACGTTCAGCAGTTGCGGCCAAAAACAAAAGCGGTAGAGGTCTCGAGAATATTTTAACGTTATAATGGCTATTTACATTTTCTCTTGATTTTTGAACTCCTTATTAAACTATAATCAAACATCTAATTAAACTAATAACAACGTCATTAACTAATAATGTTTGCATTCATTTTGGGTCTGCTTTAAAAAATATGATTAACCAACTAATTTTAAACGCATCTATTAAACGTCTCTAATGTGATTCGTTTATTACTGTGTAAATAAGTCAGCTATAAATATGCATACTATTTTATTTACCTCAACAGTTTACCGGCGTTCGTCGACATAACAACATTTCGATATTTTCATTGTAATCAAAATTACTTAAAATTGAAGATGAACAGAAAGTCGGGCGGACGTAAACTCCTGTACCGTTTAATCGACAATCCTATAAGGAGTGCTAAAAGACAAAAAGGTATGTATAACTCTACCTCCAATTCTTAAATAGTATAATAATAAATAGTTCAATAGTAATTAATTCGTACTCTCAATACCGCTTATTGAATGAGATTCTTTTTGTTATATAAGAAGGTGACAGGAGAATTAGCTGTTCATCTGATGTTAAATGATAAACTCAGATGTGTTGCCACCTTTTAATAAAGTGGACACCCATGTGACGAAACGCAGAAGTGTAACACTTCCACTTCACGCCGCTCCTTTGTGAGGTCGTGGTACTTCCCCGGACGGACCTGCCCATTCGTGCAACACCGAAGGCTGTTGCGTGGCTCTACATAGTTAAACGATGTTTAGAGGCATAAATAACTACAACATGCTTATTTTTCCAGGAACATCGCAACAGGCGAAAATATTGAAAGTGGATTATCACTCGACCCCTTGTAACAGAGCTTACGACAATAAAGAGAAGGAAAACGAGCCAGTGACAACCCCCAAAGCCACGGATTGTTACCTTTCACCCACCGCTTTTTTAACGCCAAAGAAACATCGCGGCCATAAACGATTTAGTTTAACTAAATCAAAAAGATTGACGTTCGACGACAAGGAGGAAACGGACAGTGAATGATTGTTTATTATTTATGTACATAGTCACATATTTCAAATGTATAATCTATCTAACTTATACTTTAATATTGTTATTTTGTTAAAATTAAAAGCTTACAAAACATTTTCATTGTATTTAATATGTTCGTGAACGGAATATATGGGTAATTTTTTTGCCAAGCAATTTTATCTTTGGATTCAACGAGTATTTTTGAAAAAAAAAAAACAATGTTATACAAATGATCTTATGGCATTTTGAATTGAATATCTATAACCTAAAATTCGAAGCTACATGAAAACGCATTCGACTAAAAAATACTTTTCAATATTTCTTAATGAACCTTCATTTTTTTATGGAAGAAGGTGGTAAAATGCGGGCAGTTCACCTGATATTAATTTATTATCATCACCCATTCACATCCACAGCAGTCAATACCTGTGGGGTTACAATTGTATTACGAACCTTTTAGAGCGTGAGCTCAGATTGCTTCATTCATCAGACGTATTGCAAAGGTACAAACACTTTACTTGACTTCTGTGAGGCTTAAGTACTTCCCAGAGTGGACTTGCTCCTTCCGACTGCTGAGTTATACAATCCTTACTAGCCTTACTAATATTAAAAACGCGAAAGTTTGTATGTATGGATGGATGTTTGTTACTCTTTCACGCAAATATAAAACTACTGAATGAATTTTAATTAAACTTTTCAGTAATATAGCTTATATATCAGAATAAGACATAGGCCATAATTTATATACATATTTTTATGTATATCTGTGTTTCTGTCTGAATTTAACGCCTTCAGCCTATTCTACGCAGACGTAGTCGCGGGCAGCAGCTAGTTGATTATAAAACATGGCGACATATACATACTTGTCGCTTTTATTCTTATCTTAAGCTCCCAAAGTTCATACTACGTTGAAGCTTTCATGGCCACGTGGCGGGCTAAGGCGTTAGACAAGTTGCAACATAGCCTCATATAAAGTAGCAATTGAGTATAACGACCACAATCAGAGTAATATATTTATCACATATTAATTGTAATTCATTCTAGATCTAGAATGTTTCACTTATATTTTATTATGTCGTCGTATAACGTGTATCGTGTAACGTCTTCACAACAAAGGGTAATGGTAACCACAGTAAGGTCAAAGTTTTTAATAAAATAATGTAATATAAGTGATAAATAAAATAATATAATATAAACAATAATATAGTGTAATATTACTTATATTATTTTTTATATTATAATATTTTATTTATCACTTATATTATATTATTTTATTAAAAACTTTGACCTTACTGTAGTTACCATTACCCTGTGTTGTGAAGACGTTTTACATGCACAAGTTTCACGTAGATAAATACCCAGATCCGATACAATTATCTGAGCAGGTCTCCTACTCTCAGGCCTTCTGTGTACGGAGGGTATCAGGGCGTAGCCCACCACGCGGCATCAAAAAAATCAAAAATATATTTATTATATAAAGTCGCTTGCGCGTTCTTACGAAACGTCAAAAACGTCACCACTGCGGATTGGCGGACTTCACATTTATCTTCGAAACATTTTTTTTTTGTTATTATTATGCAGGAAAACATGCAGGTTTCGTCACCATGTTTTCCTTCACCTTTGAAGACGTGATAATTCACCACTTAAAATGAACAATTTCGTTGATGTCGCCACCGGGGATCGAACTTGTGTTGCTTGAGTATATGGAATTAAGAGCGAGCGCCCGGTCTAACAAATCCGCCTTGATAATGTCGAAAAGCCTTAGAGTTTGCGTAATATGTGATAATAACGACCGGTTTCTGAACACTGATCATCGTAGAACTAATCAGGTGTCAAATGGCTTTTCAAATGTTATTTGAGTTGCCTAAAGGATTGTTAAACTCTTTGCATTGATCATTCTGATCATTAAGAAGATCATTCTGGTACCTGTAAGGGTACCAACAGCAAGTTTTAAGGCCCAACGTGCCAATGGATGTGGCATAATACACGAACTCGACAAACTCTCCGCACTCTACTGCCATTATACAACCCAAAGTAATGCGTTTAGATGGGCAACCCTATCCTAGTGTAATAGATTATTAATCCTATTCTAGGATCACATGTTCAAATGTAAAAATGACTTTTGGCTGCCTAGGGCCCTAGTCC